GCCATGGAGAGCAACCACCCTTTTTGGCAATTCCTATACCGGTTCGGTACCTCAGAGTACTGGCGCCCATTCAGGGTATGCCAACAGACCTCATACCTCCACCACCTGCTACTGGGACTCATATTTTTAGACATCGCACCGGAATTACAGTTTACCCCCAATAGTGTCCGGGAGTTAGTACTATGGGCTGTACCCATTGAAATGCTGTATACCCTGGTATATGTGGTCTTAAACTATGCAATTATGATACCATTGACCGCGTGGTTTGAGTTACCGTTTATTGGGTTACAGATTATTGTATCAAAAGCTATATTTGATAAGCGATTAGCTGTTAATCAAAAGTCAGATAATGTAGAAATGGACAGGGATGCTATTAACAATAATTGTATAAGCAATAATAATGTAAATGCAAATGTAAATGTTAATAATGTGTAAATGTAAATGCTATAACATTATTTTGTGTAGCATACCTACATGTAAATGACATTGTGGAAATTTTATAATATTAATAAATCATAACAGGTTTTCACTGATAAATCTAAAATTAATTTTTAAAAATATTTTTGGACTGGTAGATAATTGGAGAGGGAGAGAATACTTTATCAAAATACCTTAATGGTATGCTAAAAGCAATTAACCTTGAACATGTTGAATAAGTTTAAAATTAGGACAAAAGTCAATGTACACTTAGCTTATAATAATGTATAATTAACAATATGTAGTGTTTGTTATAATTTAATATATTACGAACTATAAACTCTTAATTTTAAAATGGTAATTAACATTTTTAATTATTCATAATAAGAAATAATATTAAAATAAATTTTAATTATAATATTTATCAGCAACCGCAAATATTTATAATTACTTTAATTTATTCATAAAAAAAATATTGTAAAGTTAATTTCTATTTAATTAATGTAAATATAATTAGCATATTTATTGCATAAATAACTAAAACTGAATTTTTCAAAAATAAAAATATTATTTCCAAATTACTATAATAAAAATATAAAATTAACTATAAACTGTAAAAATATAAACTAGTTTTAAAGTTACACCTATACTGTGAAATTGTAAAAGCAATATTATTTTTAAAATTCACAGTAAATATTTTGTCAGGCTAGTTAATAATTTCACGAAAAATAATTTTCTTTATAAAATGACAGATTATCGTTAAGTAATAACAATATCTGAAAATATTGAGCAATTAATGCTAATATTTTTATCAACTAATTCATTAGAAGTGATATATATTGAAGGTTATATTAATATTGCTTCTGGCTAATTTACGTATATTTCTGAGCACACAAATTAAAAACTATATTTGCTTTATTTTTATTAAACATTACTATAAATATAATATAAATATTTTATCTTCCTATTTACAGTATTTCACCTTGTACGAAACTATTTAACAAACCATATACTATAACCTCAATTTATAATTAAGTTTCAAAATAATTTAAAATACACAACTTTATAAAAATAATAAAATTTATTTTAATTATCTCAACTTATTCAATTCCCCGTTTCGTGTTATCTGATCATAATTTTTTTAATTGTTTTCAAACTGTTTTTAAAAAATAAACTATAATATTTTAAAGCATATAATTACCAGAGATCCCCACTTTCTGTTCATAATAAATCATATAATTGCTATGATTTTAACAAGTTTTTAAAAACTTATATTTGCAACACTAACCCTTCATCATACATTAATCGACAATGATCGAGCTCATAATATTCGTAACAATTATTATAATATGGTCTATTCTAATACTAATCGCCACATTTAGGGACATATACCGTAAAAAGAAAAATCTTAATAATAATAATACAAATGATACAAAGGATGAAAGTGTTGGTCAAAACGTGTGGAACTGTATGTCTCAGCCGTATGTCTATAAACAGGCAATTCGTATGAGACCTAAGTTCAAGCCGAATGGAGAACCGAATATTCCGGACGACAAAAGTTGCATATTTGATGCCTTTCGGGCTGAGGCTCATTTGAGCTCGCTCATTTATCATTTTGGCGGTAATATGAGCGCATATAGAAAGGATAATGTGAATTATGTGTTTCGTACTGTGACTCATCACTTGTGGTAAGCTTAATATACTAAACCAATAATGAAGTTAATTTATTAACTGTTTAAATTTGCTAATATTATAAAGCATGATACATTAATTTTATTGAACTTAGGTAATACAATTTTGTTTATGTAATATACTTATTTAAATATAAAATATTTTTAAATAAAGTTAGTATCGAATGATTAATTATTTTACAAATAATTTTTGCTTGTAATTCATCAATTTATAATTACTAATATAATTATAATTATCAAATTATATTAATGTAAAAAATTAAGCATTTATTATAAAACTTATTCAAATTTAAAATAGTTTTCATATTATTATTTATAATGATATAATTTTTTAAACATAAGGTTCCCTGGTTATTATGGTTTCAAATACTATATGGATTTATCATTGTTTTCATCGGGAGTCGCATCAATCAAATGGTTTATAAGGGCTATGAATAAAACCGGTGGCACTCGCTTGGCCACAGTTACGGCCCGTTATTATTTCGACCGTATCCTACGTATAGTTCCCTTATACTACCTGTCCTTTTATTTCTACCTTATTTATGTCCGGTATTGGGTCTCCGAGAGATATTATGATAAGGGCGTCGAAAAACTTTGTTATACTAATTACATGTATAACCTATTGTTCGTGGCTAATATATTTGATAAGCAAAATGGCCTGGTACATTTGTAACAAAAAATAACATTTATTTTTGCTAAATTAAATTTTTATTTTAGTGCATGCCATGGACCTGGACATTTAATGTTATTGTTCAATATGTACTAGTTACCCCAATATTTGCAATCCTGTTATACAAGTAAGATCTAGTTGAATATTCATAAATATAATTATTTTAATTAGTTGTTAGAAACTTTTTATTTATTTAAATTTACCTTTCTTAGAAAACCTAAGCTGGGAATCATTGCCTTAATTTTGGGTAATGTTTGGTCTATTTGTTCCGTATTTTACATCATATACTCAAATGGCATCACCACCGAAGGGGTACGGGAGGTGTTGATCTATAATAACAACCCGGTCAACCCGGTTTAGTAAGTTTTATTAAGTTTTATAAAATAATGTAATCAACTTTTATTTTCAGTTATTGTCTCCAAAAATTTGTTAAAAACTAATCAATAATAGTTAATAATTTTCTCAAAATAGATTAATCATATTATTTATACAAGGTCGCATTTTAGTAAGTTTCAAATATAGCTAAAGGGACTATTTTTCAAAATAACAAAATTGATTATTACTGTTTTTAAAATTGATTATTATTAATGTTTTAAAAAAATATTATGCAAATTACTTTCCTTAAACTATTATTGCATAATTAATACGAGTCATATAATTAAGTTTAAAATCTTAATTTTAAAATTAAGTTACAATTAATTAAGTTTTATTATAAAACTTTATTTATTAATAAAAAATCAGATTAAATGTACATAGTAAATAATATACCTAATTATTTAATATATTTATACTAGCAACCCCACTGGTTCCATGTATTTTCTACATATTACAGCATTCCGTTATGGGACCGCCTATTTTACTGGCATCATATTTGGTTACTTAATG